CCCCAAAACCCCAAAACCCCAAAACCCCATTAGGCGAAAATATGTGTTCAGAGTTTAAAATTTAATGAGAACAATACACTTAAAATTCATTAAAATACTGATGGTCTAAGTAAAGAACTTCCATTATTTTGAGTTAAGTTCATAGTTAGATTATCTTTAATTTGCAATTCTTAATCTTCGTTTTAATCCTCGTTTTCAAAGCTATACTCGTTATTTAAAATTTCAATATCCTCATCGAGCTCAGTCACCATTTTCAAGGGCATTTCATTTTACAATTGACTCTCTTTATTTTATATGTTTTCTTATTACTATGTGCTAAAGCCATTCTCACCGTGCATGAACTCATGCTATTCTTTAAGTTTACTCAATTCAAAAGCCTCTTTGTTAAGTTCTCTAATGTCATCCACATCGGCCAAGCATTAAATGTAGTAAATCATATGTTACATCTCTTCGTCATTTGATTTATTGTTATAGTATGATATAATTGGCACTCCGTTATCAATTTGGAATCCAAAAGCATAAATTGAGTTATCGACAATCACAATATCCTTCAAATCTCTGTTTCTAAAGATTCTCAAGTCCTTTACATAGTAACCCTATGAAGTGTGGACACATGAGTCTCTGTAAAATCTGAAATCAAATAGCTTATGATGAGGATCTAGGAAATCTAAAATAGCATCTGCGTATGTCTTGTGAGAGGCTGTGAAAACTCCTACTTAAAAATGCTTTTTAGCCTCTCTAATGCATTCATAAATGTAGGGTCGAACGTTTATGCCTGCCTAAACTGGCTCATCATCATCATCAAACAAAATTGGAATAATAACATCAGGATCCTCCGTCTCAATATCATCAACACAATGAATCAATGTTTCATCCATATCAAATATCAAAGTTTTCTTTACTATATAAATAAGGCAATTAAATTATTTTACTGTTTGGGTTATCAAAAGGCGGTAGATCTACCATAAGGTGTTCTATCTCACTGATATCTGGAGTTACAAATGTTGATATATTTTTCAAAGCGGCTAAAGTTTGGAGGAAATGAATTTAGTGAACATCTTGTGATCCAGGCAATTTTAGATCCGATGCTCTCACTTCATCGCTATCTAAAGAATCCATTTCTAGTTCAAAGAAAGGAATTCCATTCTGTTAATTATCCTGAACAATAAGTACATTCTAAACTTGATCATTGCTCTGAGGAACCTTAGTAATCATAGCATTGAGCTGATTCTTTTTTGTTTCTAGTTTTTCATCTTCTTAACTTGGCTATCTATTCATAAATACCGAGCTTATTCTATCTCCAGGTGAAAATCTATCATCAACATTAATGAAATCATGCTTTATTTCTCCTTTCTAGGAATTACATTCATTAACATCATCATGAAAATCTTCAGTTCTGAGGTATTCATTTGTTAAGAAACTATGTTTACTCAGAGTCATAAAACTATCCTTCTTTTGATTTACTATAAGAAATCTACCATTCTACTATTAGCCTCCTACTGAAAGCTAAGAATACTCATTTTTACTACTTGAGTCATTCTAGGGATTACTGCAACAGCTAAATATAGAAGCAAAAACTCTGGACTTCCTAGGCTTATATTAACTTGAATTTCTCTCTTGAATTTCAATGTATGGCAATGATGAACCCATACTTGAGGTCTTTTACTGCTGATACTGAAAATTATTAGATGATCTTTGTTCACTAACTCTGCCTGATAGTCTAACTTAAGCTCTTTATATGAAACTTGATCTTGGCTTATCATTTGAATTCTTTAGGGAACTAATAAGATTAAAACTAATCTATCTGACTAAAAATCGATTGTCTCCTGACTCATCTTGGATTTAGCTATTAATGCTGTTATAATCATAAGGATGAGACTATCTAGAGGGTACTTCATCTACATCATCACTAGCATCAGCACTACTAGTGATTGAAAGTCTCTGAAACATTGAGAGGTCATCTGTCTAAGGGGATAGAATGATAAATTAGATATCACTATTGTAGCTATCTCTCTCTCTTTTGCTGTTCAGAATATTGCTATCTCTTTGATTCTTTAGTCTTTAAGTCATCTTTATTTCTTCTTCAGATTTTTGAGTTTCCAATTGATTTTACTCTGTATATATCTTATTTTGGGATTAGGCTCGAGATTCATCAGATGAAAGGTTATCTATTATTTATAATTGATTGTGATCTTATCCAGAGATCATAGATTAACTGTTATCCTATGAGAACATTCTTTCAGAGGTTATCAAATTTTTAGCATTAGTATTTTCTCGGGTGTTATAATCCAGGTTATTCCCAATCGAGGTATTGTTGTTGTTATTGATAGATTTAATGGTATATCTTCCATTCTACATCATGTCATCTCTCATTATATTATAGATTGGTACTGAAGTTATGATGTTAATCGATTAGTTCTAGTCTGAAAGCTCTACTTTGAATTACTGGGAGTTTCCATTACTGCTGCTCTAAAAATCACAGGATTGTTACGATTGTGATGGTGGTATATTTAAGAATGTATTATTGATGCCAAGCTGATCAAACGATAGAGATCCTTGTAATTTGACTTGCTCTTTTTACATATCCTGGCTATTTTTTCTAAGTCCAGCTGCAGACTGCTAATATTTGTGACCAGGTGATTTCCTTCTCTAATCGCTTTTAAGTTTATCATCATTCTTTTGCATTTTTAAATTACAACTATAAATTCTATTCATTTCAAATTCTAATTTAAGTACAAATCAGCATTGCGGGGTTTTGGGGTTTTGGGGTTTTGGGTTTTGCT